GGCCCTGCAGAAAGAAATCAGATCCCGCAGGGCCCTGGTCTCATGAGACAGAGTTTTCCACCAGGCCGGAGCCATCACTGAGAAGGCCCTGCCTCTGGTTGAGGCTAATCTGACTTCCTTAGGGCCCGGGACCTCTAGGGTGTTGCTAAATGACCACAAAACTCCTGGGGATGACCTTGAGGGCCAAAAGCCACTGCCTCTCAGCCTAACCTACCTCGCAGGACTGCTGTAGGAATTAAATAAGGAGCGGAAGAAAAACCATTTACGCCAGCTTGAGCTCCTTGGAGATAAAGGATCGATAGAAATTCAGTGAGTCGGTCAAGGTGTCTTGCCCGCAGGCTCATCAAAACCTGGAGCCAGCACCATAAAAGTGTGTGTGTCGCGGCGGTGGGAAAAATTAAGTGTGTATGTTATTTTTAGTGGGGGTGGGGGGGTGGGAAACCAGTTCGGAAAGATCTTAAGCGCCTCCTCCGCACCTCTGGATTCTCTGCCTGAGGCCGCTTTACATTTTTCTTTTAAAAAGAAAACAAAGTAAATCTGTCATGTGCTTTTGTGCAAAGTTTAGTTTGACAGCTCTCTTAACTTTGCTAGGAGGTTGCTTCACCCCTTGGGTCCTGGCTCAGTGTTGCAAACCGGCTGGGTCTGTTCCAACAGGTAGGAGGAAAACTATTTAGTTCAGCGGTTGCTATCCTTTCCTTGAACTCTTTTGCGCAGGGGAGATTGCAGCCTTTGGAAACGGAATCTGGAAATATTCAAATATCCTATCCGTTCGGTGCTTTTGAAGCATTCCTCTGTTTTAAAAATCATTGTGGGTTTGGGGAGAGTCAGGCTGGAAGATTCCCAGAGCACCATCCAAATCTTGAGGTCCTGTACCCTGGGAAGGGCTAGAGACTAACAGACAGAGTTGTCTAACTGGCCAGACAAGTTTCTTTGCAAGACACTGACCTAAGTTGGCCACTTCAATGTCTTCATCAGCATCATGTTCTTGCAAAAGCTGCAAGAACGATGTGTGGGCCTTCCTTCCACTCCCTCACCTATCTGCTAGGCAGGAGAACAACAGCCAGATGTTTTCTGTGTGCTGAGCTGGAAACAGGCTGGAAGCTGGAGACAAAGAGTACCTGCTTGCTCTGTGCTGGATCTGAATTGACCACAAACTTGACACGAGCCAACAGTGTGATGCGGCAGCTAAAAAAGCCAATGCAATTCTGGGCTGCATCAATAGGAGTATAGCATCTAGATCGCTTTTAAACCGGGGTGCCCATAACCGGACACCGGACTCCCAAGTGTGGTCTGACCAAGGCAGAAGAGAGTAGGATGACTTCCCTAGACTTCTTATCCTGTGAACCGCCCAGAGACATCTGGGTATAGGGCAGTATATACAGTGGTACCTCGGGTTACAGACGCTTCAGGTTACAGACTCCGCTAACCCAGAAATAGTACCTCGGGTTAAGAACTGTGCTTCAGGATGAGAACAGAAATCGCGTGGCAGTGAGAGGCCCCATTAGCTAAAGTGGTGCTTCAGGTTAAGAACAGTTTCAGGTTAAGAACGGACCTCCGGAACAAATTAAGTTCTTAACCCAAGGTACCACTATATATAAATTCAATTAATAATAGTATTAATAATAATAATAATACTGAAGCAGCCTAGAATAAAAAGGTAAAGGTAAAGGGACCCCTGACCGTGAGGTCCAGTCCTGACCGACTCTGGGGTTGCGGCGCTCATCTCGCTTTACTGGCCGAGGGAGCCGGCGTACAGCTTCCAGGTCATGTGGCCAGCATGACTAAGCCACTTCTGGCGAACCAGAGCAGCGCACGGAAACGCCGTTTACCTTCCCGCCAGAGCGCTACCTATTTATCTACTTGCACTTCGTGCTTTTGAACTGCTAGGTTGGCAGGAGCAGGGACCGAGCAACGGGAGCTCACCCCATTGCGGGGATTCGAACTGCCGACCTTCTGATCGGCAAGTCCTAGGCTCTGTGGTTTAACCCACAGCGTCCCCCGCGTCCCCCCAGCCTAGAATAGCATTGGCCTTTTTTGCTGCTGCATCACACTGTTGACTCCTGTTCAACTTGTGGTCCACCAAGACCCCCCAGATCCTTTTCGCATGTGCTACTGGCAAGCCATTTGTCCCCTATCTCATATTTGCGCACCTGGTTCTTCCTGCCTGAGTGCAGAAACCTGAAATTCAAGGTGCTTCTGACATGCAAAGACAAATCGACCTACAGCTGGCATTCCAGCTGTTTCCACTCACCTGTCCCTCAGAAAGGTAGTCCTACCTGAAAACACAGGCAGCTTCCCAGCTCACCCAAGCAAAGCTGGGCTTGATACAACTTACCCGGTGTCCCAAATGGGTCTTGGCATTCACTGTGGGGTCGTGGTGTGTGTGTATATGTGCAGGAACTCTGCCAGGAAGTGTCCGGCCCAGGAGACACAATGACAGAGCCGGGAGGCTTGCTTGTGAGTAGTGCTCCTTTTCTTGCTTGGACGCAAGACTTGATTGTCAAGTGTGTGGGCTGATCCACTCGTCCAGGAGAAAGGAGATGTTTGTCAACTTGGTTCAGGTGAACAGAGAGCAGTTTTAGGCTTGCAACAGAGGAGGAGCCTGCAAGGATACGTCACAGCACCTTGCTCAACAGGACCATGGGGCGGCCGGGGACATTTGCCAAGGAAGGTGGGGCGGCGACTGACAAGGACCGAGGACAGCACAGGTCTCGGATCTGCACCTTTCAACCTGGGATTCCCAGGTGGGAAAGGCTAGCTTACCTTTCTCGCTCTGACCTAGCCACAGTGATCCATGCGATGGTCACCTCCAGACTTCATTACTGTAACTCACTCTACGTGGGGTAAGTTACCCCATTCAGGACCAGGGAGTCTTCCACACCTGCCTGCCCTCCGTCCCTCAAGGACAGTACTTCTGTCTTGTCAGGATTCAACCTCAATCTGTTAGCTGCCATCCATCCTCCAACCTCTAACCAACTGAGCTATAATTAAAAAAAAAAAATCCACATAGGATTCAATCTCACAGACTCTGGCTGGCTTTCCAACTGCAGCCTCCTACTGACTGAGGTATTTGAACTGCTTAAATGAAACATGGGTGGCGCTGTGGTATAAACCACAGAGCCTAGGGCTTGCCGACCCCTGACCGTTAGGTCCAGTTGTGGCCGACTCTGGGGTTGCGGCGCTCATCTCGCTTTACTGGCCGAGGGAGCCGGCATTTGTCCGCAGATGGCTTCCGGGTCGTGGGACGCGGGTGCCGCTGTGGGTTAAACCACAGAGCCTAGGACTTGCCGATCAGAAGGTCGGCGGTTCGAATCCCCATGACGGGGTGAGCTCCCATTGCTCGGTCCCATCTCCTGCCAACCTAGCAGATCGAAAGCACGTCAAAGTGCAAGTAGATAAATAGGTAGCGCTCTGGTGGGAAGGTAAACAGCGTTTCCATGCGCTGCTCTGGTTTTGCCAGAAGCGGCTTAGTCATGCTGGAAAAACTGTCTGCGGACAAACGCCGGCTCCCTCGGCCAGTAAAGTGAGATGAGCACCGCAACCCCAGAGTCATTCATTATGTCCAAATGCTCAGGGACCCCTTTAAAGTAAATGGTAAAGGGACCCCTGACCGTTAGGTCCAGTCGTGGCCGACTCTGGGGTTGCAGCGCTCATCTCGCTTTATTGGCCGAGGGAGCCGGCGTACAGCTTCTGGGTCATGTGGCTAGCATGACTGAGCCACTTCTGGTGAACCATAGCAGCACATGGAAACGCCATTTACCTTCCCGCTGGAGCGGTACCTATTTATCTACTTGCACTTTGACGTGCTTTCGAACTGCTAGGTTGGCAGGAGCAGGGACCGAGCAACGGGAGCTCATCCCGTCACGGGGATTCGAACCGCCGACCTTCTGATCGGCAAGTCCTAGGCTCTGTGGTTTAACCCACAGCGCCACCCGCGTCCCACGACCCGGAAGCCATCTGCGGACAAATGCCGGCTCCCTCGGCCAGTAAAGCGAGATGAGCGCCGCAACCCCAGAGTCGGCCACGACTGGACCTAATGGTCAGGGGTCCCTTTACCTTTACCTTTAATGAAAGAAGGCAAGCAAGACCACTTCCCTGTCTCAGTGCTTGAGAGACCAGCTCCATTCAAAGCATCCTCTCTCTGAACTGTTTCCATTCCCGCGGGTTGCTACTTTGTAAGTTTGCAAATTGATGCCCAGGTTTCCCGGTTTTCCTCTTCCCTCCCCATCCCAGTTTCCTTTCAGACTGCAGCTTTCAGAATGTGAGCCTGTGTTCTTTTGACTGCCCGCAGGAAAGTCACGTTGCAAACCTTTTTGGCTGAAGAGCACGGAAGAAACGCCTTGAATCAGCCTTCGTCAAACTGTTGCCCTCCAGATGTTCTGAGCTGGGCTGATGGGAGTCTTAATCGAAAACATCTGGAGAGCACCAGGTTAGCAAAGGCTGCCTTAACCAGACAAATAAGGTAATAACCAAATAATAAATGGAAATAAATTATTGGGAGATGGGTTATTTGTTCGTTTTGCCTTTGTTTTACTATGCATTTTGTGTTTCCATTTTGTATTTTTACGTCGTGAACCGTCCTGTGATCCTCGGATGAAGGGCGGAATACAAATTTAATAAATCAATAAATAACAATCATTTCTCATTCAGAAATGTGCTCCAAAGCTTGCATCCCACCATCCAAAAATGTGCTTTGCACTTTCGCTCCCGCTCCCAATAAAGTTTTTGGCTCAAGGCTCCAATTAAATGAGCGCGCAATATGTTATTTAAGCATCAAAGCTAGAACAGCAGTCTGCCCTGGCATTTATCCACCCACACGGCTCCAGAAAACAGTGCAGAACTTTTGCCCCCATTTTACAGAGGAGGAAAACCAAGGCGGGAAGCAGCTAAACAGTTTGCTCCAGCTGCAGCCTAAAATATCTGGAGGGCAGAAGATTAGCAAAGAGGGCGGATTCGCATTAAATTTGTTCGTATAAAACATGCAAGGTGCTGCTTTAACCGACTGGGATCACAGAGATCTTATGTTGAGGAATTGTTTGTGACTGTGCAAGCGCTTCACCTCAAAAAGGAGATTGCAGAGTTGGAAAGGGGTCGAAAAGGGCGACTAAAATGATCGAGGGGTGGAGCGAATCGCTTATGAAGAAAGAGCGCAGCGTTTGGGACTTAAGACAAGCAAGAGGCGACAGGTTAGGAATTTTAAAAATTATGCACAGCGTTGAGAAAGCAGGTAGGGAAAAGTTCTTCTCCCTCTCTCAAAGAATAAGTGAATTGCAGGGTGAGAAGGGGTTCCAATGGTCATCTAGCCCAACCCCGGGTTGAGAGGAGCTTCCTGGTGGGATTTGAACCCTGCTCTCTCCCAGGTCGCGGTCTAACAGTCTAATCGCTACACCACACTGTCTCCATTGATTCCTATGGGTCTACTCAGCGTAAGATGAGGTCGGCCGCCCCCGCGTTAAGCCTCCCAGGTCTTACGCCAGCTCTCTAACCGCAACACCACACTGCCTTCCCTTTGCACGCTCAAGAGCTGCCTTTTTGCTCCTTGCTTCCTACAGAAAACACACCCTTGCCCCTCGCTTTCGGAGGGACCCGCTGCTGCCATCTGTGCCCGGCGTGCAAAGAGGGCGGATTTGCATTAAATTTCTTCTTTTTCTTCTTTGCACGCTCGCTCTGTTCTCCTATCCTGTTATCCTATCCCGCTTCCCTGCCTTGCACGCTTCCCGTGAGAAAAAACCACACACACCTTCCTCCCTGCGGGAAATACCCTGTCTCCCCGGCTGCAGGTCTCATCTCTTGCCCGCGACACGCAACTTCGCATTCACACGAGCGCAGGCGTACACGTGTCTGCCGCCCATTTGGACCCCGCGCGCGCGCGCACGTCCCGCAGATGCTGCTGCTGCTCACCTGAGCCCAGGTGTGTCAGGCTGCGCTCCGGGGATCCCGCTGCGCAACCCCTCCGTCTCCCAGCTGTTCGCGAAGCTGCTCTCACCTGCGGTGATGCGGGCCCTTTAAGAGGCGGTCCGCGCCCCTCTCGTGACGTCATCGCGCGCCCGCGTCGCCGTACCTGGCCCGGCGCCACCTTTGGAGTGGCAGGTGAGGGCGCTGGAGAGTGTGGCGGCTCCGCGCCAATGGGGAGCTTTCGCCCAAAGGGACCCCTAAGGGTCATCCAGCCTGACCCCATGCAATGCAGGCATCTCCTTCTTTATTATTATTATTATAAACTTTATTTAGAATTCAACAGTAACAAAGGAAAAAACCCACAGTAATTGCTACATCAATTCATTCCAATTAACCAATTTTAACAATATATAAATAGTAATTGAAAAATTACACAGCATCACCTTTAAGTTACTGAAGTTTTCGTATTACACTTTTTATCTCTTTCTCAAAGAGAGGAAGACCAAGAAAGGAGGTACAAAAAAGAAAAAAGAAGAGTAAGAATAAGAGAGAAAGGGGAAAAAAGGAAAAGAAAAAGAAAAAAGAAAACAAAACAAAAAAACCCACATTTGACTTCCGATTAGACTCATTGTGTTATTATTTCTACTATTTTTTCACACACAGTTCCAAATTATTGTATTGCTTTCTTTGTTTTTGTCAGATATCAGAAAACATTATATTTGTTGTTTTACAAGGATCATTCTATTTCTGCCAGGAGATATTTGTTATTGTAATGTTTTCCCAGATACTCTTTAAAGATTTTCCATTCTTTCTGTACTTTCTGTTTTGGGTAGCCTCTAATTCTCCCTGTCATCATGGCCATCTGTAAATATTCTATCATTTGAACCTGCCACTCATTTATTGTAGGTGTTTTGTCGCTTTTCCAGTTTCTTGCAGTTAAGATCCTGGCTGTTACTGTTGTGTACATAAAAAATGGTCTCATTTCTTTTTTTATTTCTGGTGACATTATTCCCAGAATTGTGCAATTCCTATTTCCCCCTCTCCGTGTTCTTTTTTATCTCTGGAAAAATATTCGCTTCTTTGTTTTGGTTTTTTTAATATGCTTTATTGATTCTGCCATTAAAAAACAATCGAGCAAGAACAATCCATTATCAAAACAGATCGAAATCGTGAAAATAAAGATTAAAAAAGACCCCCCAAAAAGACAAAACAGGAAACTGAAAAAGAAAAAACACAAAAACACATATTTTTCCAATACACAGAATCATTTCAGGAGTACAAACCATATTTTAAATACCGTATTTTTTGCTCTATAAGACTCACTTTTTCCCTCCTAAAAAGTAAGGGGAAATGTGTGTGCGTCTTATGGAGCGAATGCAGGCTGCGCAGCTATCCCAGAAGCCAGAACAGCAAGAGGGATTGCTGCTTTCACTGCATAGCGATCCCTCTTGCTGTTCTGGCTTCTGAGATTTAGAATATATTTTTTCTTGTTTTCCTCCTCCAAAAACTAGGTGCGTCTTGTGGTCTGGTGCGTTTATAGAGCGAAAAATACGGCAATCTGTACGCAAAATTCCTAGAAAGAATTGACCTCCGTCTTTAAACTTTTCTACTTTCCCCATTCTTTCCGATCCTCTATCGTGTCCCTTATTTATTTCCTTTTGACTTCCATCTACCTCTTTGCGGTATCTATATTTCTCTTGCTTTTTAGTAGTCCGTATTTAATGGTTACCACAGTTCAAGAAGGACACTGACAAACTGGAACGTGTCCAGAGGAGGGCAACCAAAATGGTCAAAGGCCTGGAAACGATGCCTTATGAGGAACGGCTAAGAGAGCTGGGCATGTTTAGCCTGGAGAAGAGGAGGTTAAGGGGTGATATGATAGCCATGTTCAAATATATAAAAGGATGTCACATAGAGGAGGGAGAAAGGTTGTTTTCTGCTGCTCCAGAGAAGCGGACACGGAGCAATGGATCCAAACTGCAAGAAAGAAGATTCCACCTAAACATTAGGAAGAACCTCCTGACAGTAAGAACTGTTTGACAGTGGAATTTGCTGCCAAGGAGTGTGGTGGAGTCTCCTTCTTTGGAGGTCTTTAAGCAGAGGCTTGACAACCATATGTCAGGAGTGCTCTGATGGTGTTTCCTGCTTGGCAGGGGGTTGGACTCGATGGCCCTTGTGGTCTATTCCAACTCTAGGATTCTATGATTCTAGGGTTACAATAAGTAATCTTTCCCATAGGTCTGTGAACCGGGATTGCTTTAAAAATTATCTGATGAAACAGGGTTCCAACAAGAAGGCTTGGTTGTGCCTTGATTAAGTTCACAGAGGTAAGGGCGGAATCCTAATCTCTGCAATACAGAGTATTGTATAATCCCTGCAATATTGTATTTGGAAGTTACACAACTCACCTGTGCTAATAAGTTGTTTGATCAAGGCTTCTCAGATCTGGTGCTCTTGACTTTTGTTTGCAAAGAGAAGGGTTTTTAACATCTTAATTAGCTGTGGCCTATTCACATTTACGTCCTTTTAAATGTGTTTTTTTGGGGGGGATCTGTCTCCTGAGAAATCTCTATGTGGGACAAGAAGCTACAGTTAGAACTGGATATGGAACAACTGATTGGTTCAAAATTGGGAAAGGAGTACGGCAAGGCTGTATATTGTCTCCCTGCTTATTTAATTTATATGCAGAATTCATCATGAGAAAGGCTGGGCTGGATGAATCCCAAAACGGAATTAAGATTGCCGGAAGAAAGATCAACAACCTCAGATATGCAGATGACACAACCTTGATGGCAGAAAGTGAGGAGGAATTAAAGAACCTTTTAATGAGGGTGAAAGAGGAGAGCGCAAAATATGGTCTGAAGCTCAACATCAAAAAAAACAAAGATCATGGCCACTGGGCCCATCACCTCCTGCCAAATAGAAGGGGAAGAAATGGAGGCAGTGAGAGATTTGACTTTCTTGGGCTCCATGATCACTGCAGATGGTGACAGCAGCCACAAAATGAAAAGACGCCTGTTTCTTGGGAGAAAAGCAATCTTAAAAAGCAGAGACACCACCTTGCCGACAAAGGTCCGTATTGTTAAAGCTATGGTTTTCCCAGTAGTGATGTTCGGAAGTGAGAGCTGGACCATAAAGAAGGCTGATCGCCGAAGAATGGATGCTTTTGAATTCTGGTGCTGGAGGAGACTCTTGAGAGTCCCATGGACTGCAAGAAGATCAAACGTATCCATTCTTAAGGAAATCAGCCCTGAGTGCTGACTGGAAGGACGGAAGCTGAGGCTCCAAGACTTTGGCCACCTCAGGAGAAGAGAAGACTCCCTGGAAAAGACCCTGATGTTGGGAAAGATGGAGGGCAGAAGGAGAAGGGGACGACAGAGGACGAGATGGTTGGATAGTGTTCTCGAAGCTACCAGCATGAGTTTGACCAAACTGCAGGAGGCAGTGGAAGACAGGAGTGCCTGGCGTGCTCTGGTCCAGGGGGCCACGAAGAGTCGGACAGGACTAAACGACTAGACAACACAGCAACCGTGTTTTGTGTTGTGTTGGCTCCTAGGATGTAAGTCATGGGCTCCACCTGCTAGCCTGCTCCCTCAAATATCCCTGGTATGCTCCTTTCTGTATATAGGGTGCCGACATTCTGCATGAACTGGTTGCATGCAAACATGTGCAAATGGCTTGAGATACCTGTGAGGTCCATCAATGACCATATAGCATCTAGTCAACACAAAAAACAGTGACAATTTGTTGATGACAAAGGACAGCTGGACATAGAAAGGGCCCCATTGCCTTCAGTAGATCAGGGCCTCATCAAACCTAAATCCGGCCTGGGGTGGGGTGAGGTGGGATGAATTTGAAATCTGATCTCTCCAAGGTCCTATTCCAGTGGTGTCCAAACTTTTTTCAAAGAGGGCCAGATTTGATGAAGTGAAGGGCCGTGAGGGCCGAACAAAGTTGTTGACTTTACCAGACCTTTTTTAGGGTTGAAGTTGTCAAGGTTTTTTTTTAGGATTTTACCCCAGGAAGTAAACTTCCACAGGAGCCGGATTAAACCGACCAGCGGGCCGGATTAGGCCCCCAAAATGGACTTTGGACATGCCTGTCCTAGTCCAACCCCCTAACCACTATGCCACACTGCCTCCTTGAAGATTCCCTCCCCCCCCCCACTTCTTCCTTTAGGTCTGGTGATACCTCTTGAGGCTGAGTGAAGGACGTCCTTGCGGGTAACATTTGTTCAAGGTGCTGCCGACAGGGAAATGTTCTGGTCTGAACCTTGAAGGAGCGTCAAGTTCATATAGAGAGGGGCAAAAGTGTTTGCTTGCGAAAAGGCTGGGCTGAAGTATGATCCCCACCCTCCTCATGAGATGGGAAAGGGTTGAGTAACCCTTTCAAGAGAACATGGGCTCAGCTTTCTCAAGATCACGGGGTAAAAAACAAGTTATTGCCTAATACCCTTTAGTTCAATTTTAAAACCCGGCGACTTTTGCAGTTCCGCTCGATTGTAAAATACAGTGGTACCTTGGTTCACAAACTTAATCCGTTCCACAAGTCCATTCCAAAACCAAGGCGCACTTTCCCATAGAAAGTAATGCTAAGCGGATTAATCCGTTAAAGGCTTTTTAAAAACAACCTCTAAAAGAGCAATTTAACATGGATTTTACTATCTAACGGGACCATTGAGCCATAAAATGAAAGCAATAAACAATGTACTGCAGTCACAAAATCAATCAGTCAATCAATTAATCAATCAATCGGTAGCTGAACCGGGTTCCACACAGTCACAAAAACAAAAAAAAGCCACAAAACCGAAAACGCAAAATGAATAGCAAAAACAGACGGACCTCAGTGTTAACACTCAAATTGGAAGCGTAACGCTTAAAACAGAGAACGTTCGGCTTCTGAAAAAAGTTCGCAAACCGGAACACTTACTTCCAGGTTTGCAGTGTTTGGGTTCCATGTTGTTTGAGTACCAAGGCGTTTGAGAACCAAGGGACCACTGTAAACCAGTAAACACCTCAAAGTGGTTTACAAAACAGGAATAGCTGTGGCTGGCATCCGTCTGTCTCGAGAGAAAATGGAGTGTGCCTCCGGGGGTGACGTTAAAGCGCTGTGTTAGCATAAGGTTACCAGATTTTTTTCCAGTGAATCCGTGGACACAATGAATGAATGAATGAATGAATGAATGAATGTTGTTTAGTCGTGTCCGCCTCTTCGTGACCCCCTGGACCAGAGCACGCCAGGCACTCCTGTCTTCCACTGCCTCCCGCAGTTTGGTCAAACTCATGCTGGTAGCTTCGAGAACACTGTCCCACCATCTCGCCCTCTGCCGTCCCCTTCTCCTTGTGCCCTCCATCTTTCCCAACATCAGGGTCTTTTCCAGGGAGTCTTCTCTTCTCAGGAGGTGGCCAAAGTCTATTTTTGTTGGAAAATCTTAAGAAGAATAATTAAAAGAAAAAACAGAGCAGGAGGCTGGATTAGTTGGGCCATGTTCCAGATTTCTCATCTTATGTTGTGATGAAGCGAGCTTTTCTTATTGATTCTAGAATGTATTTTAATTAATTGACTGTGCAATTTTATGTACACTGTGATATTTTTACCTGTTGTTAGCCACACTGAGCCCGGCTTTGGAGGGGAGGGTGGGATACAAATAAAATGTTGCTGTTGTTGTTGTTGTTGTTAGCGCCCTTTTGGGACTTTCCTTCCAGAGATTGCAAAAACTCAGGTTCCCATTAAGTCAGGCAAGGCAAGACTCCCTTATCATGTTGCATTTCTCACAATCAGCAAACAGCGTTGCAAGTTTCGACACGATGTGCAGAGAAATTGCATGGGTAATCCGATCGGCGTGAAAAACTGGCCTTGCTCATCGCTTATTAGGAAATGAAGACAAATGGCCACATCAGGACCGGTGAGGCAGCAGTTGGGGCAGGAGGGCTAGAAGGAAACCAAGCAGCTAGACCTCATTGTCTGAGAAGGAAATTTGTGCACAAGGGCCAGTGTTTGCTGTTATATGCGCAGAGAGTGGAAGATTCACCCTGATTTAATATGGAGGCATGGTTGCTGAAATAGCTGGGGGGAAAGCTAGCACATTGAAAAACTATTGCTGACATTTATCAATATTGTTAAATGGGAGCCCCTTTTATTTTGTTTTTGGTATGTACTGAGTTCAATAGTGTTAACGGAAAAATCCGAGGGCTCCCTTGGACAAAAGCAAAGACACCAACCAGGATAACTTGGAGCAAAACAGCAGCCTGTAGGCTTGGCCTTTATTGATCTGTTGCAACAGGGTGCTCCCCTCACCTGCAGGAGAGAGGAAGGACACAGAAAAAATGGTGTGCAAGGTCTTATAAAGACTTTTGAAATTCCCATCCTGTAGATCAAGCCCACCCCCAGAAACATCATACATACATCCCAGAAAGGAGGGGTTGAGGGAGGGGTAGTGGTGGTAACCTGAGTGTCCTGTCACCTGGCTGGTTCCCCCTTTCCCCCTCCCCATGAGTACTTTCCAGGTGACAAAGGGGAGTTTGCAGTTTCCTGCCCCCAGAGGGAAGAGCTGATTATTGTCCTTTGTTCCAGTCTGTGCTGAATCCACTCCCATATGCAAGTTCTTTGTGACCTTGATGGTCTTCTGTCTGGGACCATCAGGGTTGGCATAGCAACTGGGCAGGGCTCCTGTGGATGTGCTGGTATGGTCAAGGGATTATGGCTGCCCTGTATCAAACCTTCCCCATGTTGTAGTCCTTCCTTCATGGAGTAAAATAAAAGTGGAACAGTGCAGATCCGATGTATGGTTGATTTTCTATGAATTTATAACAGAAGCGTAGCGTATGTAGTGTGTGAGTGTGAGTGAAGTTTGTACAAACTGAATGATTGGGGGGGGGTGTTTCCTGCTACAATAGGATTCAGAATGCAGCAGTCTGATTGGTCCTAGAACAATAGGACCCAGAATGCAGTAGTCTGATTGGTCCACAGGAGCCACTCAATCCAGCTCCAGGTGGAAGTGAATCCGCAACCTGATTGGCCTACAGGAGAATCCCAGAATTAGCCAATCACGTGGGACCCATTGTGTAAATAATGTATATAAAGCAGACATTCTGGGGGAACTTCCATTCCTCCTCACCACTATGAGCAGAATAACGAGGATCAAGAAGCAAGGAGTCATGAAGCCGAGGTTCAAGGATCAGGAAGCAAGAAGCCAAATGCAGCAAGGCAGGGAACATATTGCTGTGGCAAAGAGCCGAAGGGAAATGCTGACCTTATATCCCTTCCCGGCTCTTGCCACCAGGTGCAGTGAGTTACCAAGCGGCCTCACCTGTGCGGCTGCGCCTTGCCTCTCCAGAACAAACCTAGGAAGGCCCCAGTCCTGCGAATAGCTACCGGTCACAGGGCCTGGCTCCGGCATGCACTCCTGGCAGTCACAGACACAGTCTCAGAGACAAAGGTTACAGACAGGGCACAGCAGACTACTGAGACCGCAAAAGGTTAGACAGAGGGCAAGATGTTCAGACAGCTGTGGCTTTATCTGTGAGGGGGATTGTGCTCCACAACCCAGCGATCATTCCTACAATGTACTTTCTTTTTACCTTTTTTTTTTTTTACTTTATTTCATGTGGTTAAAGCTGCTATGGATGCATTGGACTATGACTCCCATCAGCTCCTGTGGCATAGGGCTGTTCTGGCTGGCGCTAATGGGAACTGTAGTCCAACGAAGGGCCGTAGTTTGGGAAAGGCTGTTACACAGGAAACAACTATCTTGCACATGTAAGAGATCCAACATTTTAGTGTGGCGGTGCCACACTTTGGAACTCCCTGCCTATTGACATCAGGCACGTGCCGCCACTGTACACTTTTGGACACCAGCAAAAAAAACCCACATCTTTGTTTAGCCAAGCTTGCCCAGATTTGTAGGATGCTGACGAGTGTTTTAACATGATTTTTAGCTTATCATTGGTTTAATTTTTTAAAAACCCTATTGGTTGTTTTAGACTGCATTTACTGATAATTTCTTTGTTTATTCTTTTTGTAGAGGGATGTGAGGGGCTGATGGGGCTTGTCCACCTGGGAGGCAGCCCATCTAGGAGAAGGAAAAGTCTGACCCTAAACCTCCGCTGCCTTGCTACCTACATCACAGAAAAGGCGGTCTACAGCAGAAATTTGAATGTTGTTGTTTTTCCTGTCTGCCAGGTTATCTGATAATGCCTTATCTGGTTGCCTTTCCTGGTAGTCTGCCCATTCCTTTGAGATGGTGATTACCCAATTCCTGAGACAATGGGAAGGTTCCCTCACCTCCTCCCTCCTTGCAGAGAAAACATTTGGTCAGTTTGGGAGTCAAAATGGTTTTCAGGGCGGTCTTCCTGTGTTGCTCCAGACATGTGGTCCATACATCTATGTAGGTGCTTGGTTGGCACATTTATGAACATTTATTAGATATATAAGACCTTAAATTTTTAATTACACCCACCACCACCACTGAAGAACCAACAACTCAGGGGCTGCCCAGGCCCATGGAGAAAGGAGATCGAAGCCTCAGAGGAAGGGGAAATGTGGCCGCCCGTCTGCCACCGCCATCGCTGCAGCATCAATGTCCCAAACGTGTAGTATGTATGTATGTATGTATGTATGTGTGTATGTATGTATGTATGTATTTCTAGACAGCATCTTAAAAAGTAGAGACATCACCTTGCCAACAAAGGTCCGTATAGTAAAAGCTATGGTTTGCCCAGTAGTGATGTATGGAAGTGAGAGCAGGACCACAAAGAAGGCTGACTGCCGAAGAATTGATGCTTTTGGATTCTGGTGCTGGAGGAGACTCTTGAGAGTCCCATGGACTGCAAGAAGATCAAACCTCTCCATTCTAAAGGAAATCAGCCCTGAGTGCTCACTGGAAGGACAGATCCTGAAGCTGAGGCTCCAAGACTTTGGCCACCTCAGGAGAAGAGAAGACTCCCTGGAAAAGACCCTGATGTTGGGAAAGATGGAGGGCACAAGGAGAAGGGGACGACAGAGGAGGAGATGGTGGGACAGTGTTCTGGAAGCGACCAGCATGAGTTTGACCGAACTGCGGGAGGCAGTGGGAGACAGGAGTGCCTGGCATGCTCTGGTCCAGGGGGTCACAAAAAGGCAGACATGACTAAATGACTAAACAACAACAACAAAACCAGAGAAAACTTTGGTTAGGCTCAGCTCTGGCTTCCCTCAAAGAATCCTGGGATTTGTAGTTTGGCCAGGGGTCAAATAAATGTCTGAGGGAGAGCCTTAGCCTCATCTACAAAGTTTCTTTTTGAGAAGAGCCAAAAGCCGTTAAAGCAAATCTGAGTTATAGATCTGCTCAAAACCCACACCATGTGGGGGTCGGATGTAGTTTTCTTCCCTCTCCGCTAGAGGTCACGCCAGTCCTTCAGATTAAATGTTTGCAGGCACCGTAATCAGTCCAAAGGCAAAGTTTTAGGGCAAGGAGAAATTTACCTGCCTGGGAGAGCCGGAAGAGAACGGAAAATGAAGAAGCCTTTGAATTCAGCCCAACTTGAAATTCAAGCTCAGTGATGATGAGTCTGCGTAAAACGACAGAATAAAGGAAATCACTTTTTCCCACGGTCAACACCACCTGGACTTTCCCTGGAGATGAGGTAGAGATTGATCACTTGGACCTCTTGCATGCGAAGAAGATTCTCTGTGGCCGGAGTGAGGTTTGATGAGGCCCTAAGCAGTTTGAATCCCCGCGACGGGGTGAGCTCCCGTGGCTCGGTCCCTGCTCCCGCCAACCTAGCAGTTCAAAAGCATGTCAAAGTGCAAATAGATAAATAGGTACCGCTCCGGCGGGAAGGTAAACAGTGTTTCCACGCTCTGCTCTGGTTCGCCAGAAGCGGCTTAGTCATGCTGGCCACATGACCTGGAAGCTGTATGCCGGCTCCCTCGGCCAATAAGGTGAGATGAGCACCGCAACCCCAGAGTTGGCCACGACTGGACCTAATGGTCAGGGGTCCCTTTACCTTTAAGCTACCGAAGGTAATGGGGCTCTTTATACATCCAGCTGTCCTTTGTCAACAACAAATTGTCGCTGTTTTTGGTGTTGAATATACAGTGGTACCTCTGTATAAGAACGGGATCCGTTCTGGAGCCCCGTTCACATCCTGAAGCAAATGCAACCCACATCTGTGCGTGCGCAGGTCACGATTCGCCGCTTCTGCACATGTGCGTGACATCATTTTGAGCGTCTGTGCATGTGCAAGCGGCGAAACGTGGAAGTAATGCATTCCGTTACCTCCGGGTAGCCGCGGAGCATAACCTGAAATCGCTCAACCTGAGGTATGACTGTATGCTATTTGGTAATTGGTGGACCTCATAGGTATCTCAAGCCATTTGCCCATGTTTCCGTGCAACCAGTCCATGCAGAATGTAGGCACCCTATATATAGAAAGGAGCAAACCAGGGATCTTTTTGGGAGCAGGCTAGCAGTCGGGTATGTAGGTTTTATTTTATTTGTTTTTTTATCTTATATTTTGGAAATGTACATCCAGTCAGGGCTGTCTTTACCTGGGGGTGCAAGGGGTGCAGGGTGCCAAATTCTGGGGGGTGCCAGGCGTCCACCACTAAGCTCTTTGTTGTTGTTGTTGTTTAGTCTTTTAGTCGTGTCCGCCTCTTCGTGACCCCCTGGACCAGAGCACGCCAGGCACTCCTGTCTTCCATTGGCTCCCGCAGTTTGGTCAAACTCATGTTCGTAGCTTCGAGAACACTGTCCCACCATCTTGTCCTCTGTCGTCCGCTTCCTGTTGCAAAAAAATTTGTAAACCGGAACACTTGCTTCTGGGTTTGCAGTGTTTGAGTTCCAAGTTGTTTGAGTCCCAAGGCGTTTGAGAACCAAGGTGCCACTGTATTTCGATGGCAGCAATACAGAAGTCTCTAAATGCACCGCTGGCTTAAACCGCGGCACAGATTCCAGCGGCTAAAAAAGCCGAGACGTTCTAAAACTGAAGCTCATGAAATAAAGGCTTGAACTCGGAAAAAAGCAGCTGAAAATAATCATGTTTTCATTTCTTATTTATTGCATTATTATCCCACCCGACCTCCCAAAGGATCCCAGGGCAACGGGTAAGCAATGCATCAATAAGAGCACCTCCAAACATCTGAAACCAATGCAGACTGGGGAAAATCTCTGCTTAGAATCATTAGGCGGAGTTGGTGACCAGTTGCTGCCTCTCCCTCTCTATCCAACTTCTAAGCAAGAGGCATTTATCCGGGTTCAAGGAGACATCCCAGCCGGGTCAAAACATGCAAGGAGAATGAGGAAGAGAGGGGCTGAAGGGTGTGGCCTGGGGAGAGGGGTGTGGCTCTGGAAGGGGTGTGGCCTGGGGAGAGGGTGTGGCCTGGGGAGAGGGGTGTGGCTCTGGAAGGGGTGTGGCCCGGGAGAGGGTGTGGCCTGGGAGAGGGGTGTTTCTCTGGAAGGGGTGTGGCTCTGGAAGGGGTGTGGCCTGGAGACAGGGGTGTGGCCTCGAGAGAGTTCAAGGGCCAGAGAGAGAGGTCGGGGGGTCACATTTGCCCACTGGGCCTGACGCTCCTCCTCCAAACTAGCCAAATTCACTTTGGCCTGACCTAGTGGCGGCATTTCTGACACGTTCCTCAGCCTGCCATTGCACGGGGTCAGAGTAGAGGACCTCTGAGGTGCCCTCTAGGCAGACCCGACCGGCTGAGCAAACTCCAAAGAGCTAACTGACCCCCCGCCGGATGCACCCACTCTGTTCCCAGGCCTCTTGGTTATTCCAGTCAGTCTCTCCGAGCCAAGTCTGAGACC